AAAATGGAAAAAAAAATCGCCCTGTCTGGTGCTGGACCGCACTGGCTCCTTACTGGTAGCCGCTGTCGCTGCCGTCTTTGCAACGTAGTGGGAGGGGGGGGGGGGGGGGGGGGGGGGGGGGGGGGGGTGTATGGAGTGTGTACGTTTTATTACTAGAGGATACCTTTAGCGAAAGGGCCATTTTTTTTTCTCTATCCTCTTATTTGATTTTCTTTTTCCTTCGTTGTCTCTTCGTATTCTCATCGCAGTCTTCTCATTTCTGTTTTGTTTTATTACTGGCTACACGATAAGGAGTAGAGCATGCGATGAATACTGTATAGAGCGCTCTGCAGTGGATGGGAATAACTCTCCATGTGGCAGGCGGTGAGTACCGTAGAGTGAAAAGGGTATATACGAGTAATTTACTACTCAACAAGGTGAGAATTTTCTCTATAAAAAAAATCCCGAAGAGAGTAAGAAAGCAATCAGACTCCATCGTGCGGCTGGAGTCATCCACTACAGAGCAGATCTGTAATCTGTTCCTTCACAACATCCAATACCGCTACAGCCAGCACGAGTAGGCTAGAAAAGAGCACGAGTAAGTAATATTCATTTTCTCCAAGGCCATCGTGGTAATAGTATTATTACCACGTACCCCCAAGACCAAGGACTAACAATGCCTACCTAGTTACGGAGTACTATTGACTGCTTGAGGCGATGGAGAATAGATATCCCGGGACAATGCTCCACTGGTGCCCTGGGCCCTTGCAAGTTTTGGTTGCTGCCGCATCAGCCCGCTTCTGGACAAAGGGACACATGCTGCGCATTGGGCCAGAAATGGCGGCTCCATCTTGGTGCCATGCTGAAGCCGTCGTGGAGCCATCCAGCATCGATTTCATCTCTCCGTCTACCGAGAAGCATTACTCTTATGACTAATGGGATTTTTTTATGCATATCCTTCCTCCTCCTCCTCCTCCTCCTCCTCTTCTTCTTTTCCTTCTTCTTCTTCTCCCCATTATCGTCATCTCTCAGTGGACTCTCCAATCTCCAATGCACTGTACAGTACGGAGTAGTATACGGGACATTACTGACATTACCATTAGTAATAATACTACCGCATATTACGGTGTATTGGGGAGGAGAGACTGCATGTCATCATCGCATCACTCTTGCCAGCTGGGATTCGGAATTACTTCGTAAATACTCCGCACTCGTACGAGGCGAGAGCCGCCACCGCTGCTGATCTTAGTCATCGTACTAGGACCGCCTCTTGTCATCACTCACAGGACGGCGGCACCAGCCCCCCCCCTCCCCCCCCAGCAGTCTAACAGAGTCCAGATCACCTCCCCCCAGCCTTGACTTTTTCATTCTATACAGCCGAGCACCTCAGCCCTCAGCCTTCGTTCAGGGCAAGTTGATGCCACGTGGGCTTCGGTCGAGCTCCTCTGCCGGTAACTGATGCGTACTTGGGCAGGGTACAGCTGAGTATGGACAGGATATATTATCCGTTACGAATCACCCGTGTGAAAACTGAAGAGACCATCTCAATTCGCTACAGATGGGGGGGGGAGCAAAAAAGCACTAGTGAGGTCCCAGAGTCACGAATACAAATGAAGGACAATACTCAACAAACCCGCTTGGGTGTTTTCTTCTTCTTCTTTTCTTTTTTTCTTTCTTTCTCCTTCTTCTCCTTCTTATTATTCTTCTTCTTCAAGATCCGTGGTTGGAGGGAAAGGTCTCGCTCATATTAATACTCGGTGCTCCGTACTCCGTAATAATACAATACTACTGCCCGTTCAGTGCTTCAATGCGTGTTCAATAGCATCCACAGTTTACGCGTAATTCTTGCGTGGACCTTTCCTCTCTCCGAAAGTCCGGAAAATCACGGTGAATAAGCCGAAGAGGGAAGGAACGACTATCCAAGACATTTCTTCTTTCTTTGCGGAGTACGGGTTGGTTGTTGTACGACTGTGCGTAGGGTCTTTCTGGCTCCTTTCTTCCATCTTCTTTCCTTTTCTCTCTCTCTAACATCACCCTTCACCCTTCTTCATGGACGTCCATCAACTGATTATCGAGTTCTACAGACCACATTCCCTACCCAGCCTCTACCAGCCATTCACCGGAACCACCACACTAGTGAGTGACATCAGCTCCGCGATGCCAAAAAGAAAGTTGCATGCCCGGATAACTGGCCATGGCCTCACGTACCGACTAGCAATTGTCACTGCTATATGTACTGCGAGAGTCCAGCAGTAAGCAGTGCTCCATGTATCACCATATCGCCGACTACATCCGCATCCAGATGAGATATGATCAACGGCCCAACAGAGGAACATATTTACTCGCATCAGGAACAAGTCAGCTAGCAAGGCACCGGTTCCTAACTTGCCAAGCTCGGGAGCGAACTCTCCATCTCTATCGTACATGGCTATTGAGTAGCTCCTGTCAGCGCGCGCGAATACAGATACGTCGCAAACGATCGCATTGCGAATGTCGAGTGCAGATAATATTCATGTCCTGTTAGTGCCAGGAACCAATACCACGCGTGTCATGCACAGCCCCCAAGACGCCAATTTTTCTTTCTTCTCTTTTCCTTAGCCGGTCTCTTAGCTTTAATTCCCCCCCCAAAAAAAAAAAAAAAAAAAAAAAAAACTGCATGCTTCCTTCTACATGTACTCCGTATTATGACCGCAGTGACAGAACCCGGCATTCTCGGAACGCGGACCAGAGCTCCCCATTCAGGTCTTCTCTCCCTTGCACCGTCTCTCTCTTCTTCTGTGGCAGGGTACTAATACTACCAGTAACGTTACGACTGTGCACGGTGGACATGTAATACTCGTATGGAGTCACAGGGTCAATGTTTCAATATGTCGATCATTCGAGCAGTAATCTGCACAGATTGCATGTACGAGTAAACACGATGCATAACTCGGGTCGTCCCAAGTCAGTGGTCATACCTTGAAGACGGAAGATATGAAGGGTCAGGAAGAAGAAGTAGACAACGTTGGCGGCGTGGCGGCCGTGCAACGGTTATATAGCCCGGTCTGGGCTGTTCTTCAGGTCTCACACCAATACCTGTAAGACAGATGATGACACTTCTGAGAATCGAGAGAGAAACAAGCTGTTTCCTAGAGACGTGGATTATTGAATACATGGGCATCACCAAGCATATACCGACAAACAGAGTAAAGCCGATGCGGATCCGGTGGAACCCGTATCATATGTACAAGGCTGTGCCTGTCCCTCTTTTTCTGATAGAACGGGAGAGAAGATGTGAAGAAGAGTATGGATATCACGGACATTCGGGGTTTCATACCACATTACTACTGCTGCTATTATTACTACTCACTACCGCCATCACTGCTGCTGCTGCTGATAGTGATGTGTAGTAATATATGTATGAGTGGACTGTGACGCGGCAGACGGGCAAAACTGCGCCTTGTCCCCCCCCCCCCTGGAGGTACGACAACAAACACATGCTCGTACACGCTCGTACATGTAGAGATGGTAATGCCACCAGCTGTCTCTCAACTCGTACGAGTAGCAGTAGCTTCACCCCAAAAAGCACGCGGCCAACGAATCCCACATCCCACACACCGTTGACGCTATACTCCGTACGTGGTGGTTCTGGATTTCTTCTTACGGATAGGCGGCATCCTCTAACTATCCGGGCTAGCCCCTCCTCCTCTCCCCCATCCATACCTTCTTTCTATCTATTCCATCTATTCTCCCTGCCATCATAAAAAGCCCGGGTGTGACCCGTTCTCATCTAGTCCCGACTTTTTTCTTTCCTTTTTTTTTTTCTTTTTCTTTCTCTTTTCTTTTTTTCCCCCAACATTACCACTCGAAGTTCTCAGCTCGATAGCTACTCGGCCCATCACTCGACCATTGTCCATCAACCACCACCCTCGTTGTCGGCCAGTTTACACGTCTATACAGAGTCGACGACGACTTACACTCAGTCAACTGTACTGCTGCCCACGACTTGACTCGCTCGAAACTCATCCTACCTCTTCCCCATCCGGACAGTATTTCTTTCTCGATCAATACCGTCATATCCGGACTTGAGTCCCACCTTCACCCGCCTTCCCGACTATAATACGGAGAGCAAAGGCCCAGAACCCCCCGGTCTTCCACTTTCTTCCTCTTTCTCAGCCGACATTCGCCCCGGTAGATGGTGTGATTGTAGTCGAGACCAGAAGCGGACAATAACGACGACGACGGCGACGACGACGACGACGACGACAACCACAGAGAGAAAAGAGAGAGAGAGAGAGAGAGACGATGTGTACCACGAATATCATCGAGTATAAATGCGGGCATCGCATCACCCGAGGCCACACCAGGTGTTTCCGCGAAGACTGCACAACCCGCAAGGAAGATGTGATCCACTCGGCCGATGCGTGTAGTCAGTGCGCAGATAAGAAGAGGTTTCGGTCAGCAAGGTGGTGTCCCAACGGGTGCAACTGTACGGTTATGTGATGAGGAGGGATTTGGAGGCAAGGAAGAAACCAAAGGAGAGGGGGGGGGGGGGGGGGGGGGAGGATACCCTGGAGGCGTGTGCAGCTTGGATGCGCATGCCTTTGTTGTGTGTGATTTATGGGTAGGAGTTATTGAGTCGTCACGGTGATACCTATTTCCTTTCTTGTATGTCGAGATGTTTGCTACTGGGAAATGTTATGACATTTGTCTCTATGTAGCCGATATGCTGCTGCCAGCAGATCTGTACTTTTTCTCAAAAGAGTCATTCAAACAGTCAAAAAAACAAAACAAAAAACAAAAGGCCCGTTCAGATATTCAGGGTCTTGGGAGAAACATCAAAAGATGGGTTTAGCTGCGTCATATCTACGTCGCTTTCCCCGCCAAAAAGCTACCTGTATCTCCGTACATGTACAGACGAAGGCCCATGTTCCCGTCCCTAGCCGGTCATGCTGCATGTCCGGAAGCCTATAGGCTGTGACAGACGTCGGTAATATACCATGCTGTGGCAGACGGGGGGGGGATTGAGGAGCAGATAATACCACATCGTCTGCCCTCGTAGTGTATTACTCCCTGCCTCGTAGGCGGCTGTAGCGTAGGACTCGACCATGACGCGAAGGAAGCCAAGAGAAGAGACCTCGAGCTCCAACTCTGGGGGGGCCTCCACTCCACACTTTCGTTCCGCAGCAGCGAAGCGCCATATCACCTGCATTCAATCGATCCCCCTCTGTTGCTTCTCTCTCCCATTCCCTCTCTCCCTTTCTCCCCCGTCACTTCTCGTTCCTCTCTCCCACCCGATCACCCATTCCTCTTCTTACTCGGTCTATATATATATATATATACATATCGTCTATATATCATATATATGCACCTGGTATAACCCTCTTATCCTACTATAGCCTCTGGCGGGAACCCAATTCGCACACTGCATAGCTTGCCATCCATACCCTCCCCTCCCCGGTCCGAACCTGTCCGTTCCTCGTCGAAACCCCGCGCGCGGCCTTCGCCGTGTCGCCCATTTCAGCTCTCCTTCCATCTATCGCCCTCTCGATAACTACCCCCTCACCGAACCCCCGAGACCGCCATGGCTTCCAGGAAGGCCCGTCAGAGGATTAGCTATGGTGAGGGAGATGGCGGGCACGCACAATCTCCTAGGCCAATGTGCTGACACAAGCTTCTGCAGTCCTCGAAGATAACCGAACCTCGGCGGGCGGTCACCGTCTCGGCGTCCTGGGAATTGCCGTCGACACGGATAACGACATCCTGTGAGATATCTTCCTCCACCTTTTCCTCTCAACCCTGCTTCCAGAGAGAACCTCGAGAGCTGATATGGCATATACGTGCGCACAGCTACTCTGGCGGACGAGATGGCACGATATGCGCCTGGGACCTACGACACGGCACCAATGGATCGGAGACCGACAAGTCACAATCGCCCGGCTCGACGACGACGACGACCAAGACGACCAAGACGACGTTCCGCGCCCAGACGCAGGCCCACACGCACTGGATCAACGACATCGTGCTGGCGCAGAACAACACGGCGCTGGTGTCGGCTTCGTCCGACCTGACCGTCAAGGTATGGAGGCCTCACAGCGAGGAGGGGGGGCAGGCTGAGGCGCGGCCGATCGGCACGCACGCCGACTACGCCAACCGCGTGGCGGCGCCGCCGGCCGATATGGGCCTCAACTGGGTGGCGTCGGGCGGGCTGGACCGCAAGGTGTGCCTCTGGGACCTGAGCGGCGCGGGAAAGACGCTCGAGATCGACGTCACGGGCGAGGACCAGCCGGAGAAGGGGTCGGTGTACGCGCTGGCCGTCGGCCGCAGCGTCCTGGCCGTCGGCAGCCCGGAGAAGACGGTGCGGCTGTACGACCACCGGTCCGGGTCGAGGGTGTCCAAGCTCGTCGGCCACGTCGACAACATCCGGTCCATACTCATCGATGACGCGGGGGAGACCATCCTCAGCGCCAGCGCCGACAAGACCATCAAGATGTGGAGCGTCAGGGGCGGCCGATGCGTCTACACCTTCACCATGCACGACGAGCCCGTCTGGTCCCTCCACTCCACCGACCCACGCCTCGCCGTCTTCTACAGCACCGACCGCTCCGGCCTCGTTGCCAAGACGGACATCCGCCGCTCCCTCTCCGCCTCGTCCTCCTCTCCCTACGGCGACATGGACGACGGGCTCAGCCTGGCCATCGCAAAGGAGCACTCGAGCGTGTGGAACGTCGCCGCCGCCGGCGGCTCCATCTGGACCGCCACCGGCCAGTCGTCCATCAACCGATGGGATGATGTCGACCTAGACAACCGCCAGCACGAGATCCCCCCGTCTTCCATCCTCAGAGCATCCAGCACTTCCATGATCCCCCTACGAAACAACAGTGACAGCAACAACGTCAACATCAACAGCAGCAGCAACACCAACGCATCGGCACCGCCAGGGGCAGAGCCAGCCCCCGCTGTCGCCAAACCATCCCCAGAAGTCACCATCGACCACCAGACTGATCCGGAGGAGGTCAAGCCGATATACCAGCTTCCCGCCGAGACCGTAGAAGGTCTCTTCGGTCTGCTCAAGCACAAGCTGCTCAATGATAGGAGGCGGGTCCTTACGCTCGATACGGCCGGCGAAGTCGTCATGTGGGATCTCATCAAGGTATGGTCCGTCACGCAAACAAGAAGATAGAGCTGACGCGGAAGCACGGAACAAAACAGTGTAGACGCATCGAGAGCTTTGGGAAACAGCATCTGGAAGATGTCGAGGCCGTCGTCAACACGCGAGAGGCCGTGGCGCCATGGTGCAGCATCGACCTGAGCTCGGGCAATCTCACCGTCGTGCTCGAGCAGTACAACTGCTTCGACGCCGAGGTATATGCCGACGAGCTAGAGTTGGATGAGCCCGTCGAGTTTCGGGAAGACCAAAGAAGTGAGCTTCCTTCTCTTATGGGCGTTGCTCCTTCATCTCCCATCCAAGGTGTTGAATGCTGACACGCGCAATTATAGTCTCCCTCGGACGTTGGATCCTTCGGTACCTCTTTGCCAACCTGATTGACGAGGAGCTCAAGCGTGATGAGGACTATCGCCGCACGCTCAACCAGGGCATTGAGAGGCGACGAGCCAATGCCCCGGCTTCCATATCCCTGCCGCAAGCCGACGACGTGTCTGCCGACCCCAACGCTGAGCGCGCGACGACCCCCAAGGCCAACGGGATGCACCTGTCCCTCGCGACGCCAGGACTGGCTGTCAACCAGGCCACCCCGCTAGCGGGAAGCAGCCACTCGGGTGCCACCTCCGTGGCCGCGGGCGCGACGCCCATAAGCCCGCTCGAGAAGCGCACGTCGCACACGAGCCGCCCGTCCGGAGAGAACAGCAGTGACTACTTCGCCTCGACCACCATCGGGCCCGTGGACGCGTCGCCCAAGCAGCCAGCACCGTTGGGGACGTCGACGACGACAGGAGACGCAAGCGACAAGTCCAGCAACGACAAGGCGGCGGGCAGCGGCGGCGGCGGCGGCGGCGGAAAGTCCCCCGTCACACCGTTCGGTAAGAAGTTCCGCATGTCGTTCGGTACCAAGAAGCTAGGCCGGTCGGGATCCCAGGCGACGCAGGACAGGCCTGCGGTCGTGGACGAGAAGGCCGATGAATCCGAGTCGTCGTCCAACCACGACAAGGACAGCAGCAGCAATGGAAGGGGGGAAAGGGACAGGCCAGCCGGCGAGGTGGAGGATAACCTGTACGGGGTGATCCAGAAGCTGCGCAACGACTACGACCGGCAGCTCTCCGAGTCGCCGGACAGGCCGGTGGAGACGGGCCTGACGCCCAGCCTGCCCAGCGAGACGCCCGTGCTCAAGCTGCCGCCGTCGACCAAGATCTTCATCCAGGAGGACACGTCGGGCAGCGCGGCCAACATCTACGAGGGCACCGTAGGCAGCGCCGGAGACGACGCCGACGTCATCGAGCAGAGGGCCCCCAAGTGGTTGGGGCACGTGCTCCTACAGAACCAGGTCGCCTTCAAGGACACCAACAAGATCTCCTTTGTCCTGCACCCCTGGGGCGACCTGCTGCCTCCCGTGTCCACGGCCGCGACTGCCGCCAGTTCCACGTCTGCGTCCGATGGCGCCAGCAACCGCCTCAATGCGAATAGGATGCTGCGTGTCAAGAAGATCCTCGCCTACGTCTGTGAGAGGATCGAGGTCCAGGATGATGACGATGACGACGGTGACAAGATGCATCCGGAGGAGTATCTTGAACTGTACTGCAACGAAGAGGTATGTCTTCCTCCCCGACACCCTTTCATTATTCTTACCCTCCTTGCCCTCCCCCTTTTTGTGTTACAGGAATTAACTCCCCCCCCCCCCCTTTTCCTTCAGCTCCTTGACCCGTACATGAGCCTGGCAACACTACGCACTCACGTCTGGAAAGGTGGCAACGATATCATCCTGTACTACAAGGCCAACGGACGCAAGGAGATGAAACTGCTGAGTCAGGTATCGGAATCAACAGCAGCAGCGGGGACATCGTCTTCGGAGAATGGGGCTTCTTCAGAATCTGCAGAGGTATCGGGCGAAGTTGCGGCGACGAATGGTACGACGGCCAATATTGGACAGGCAGTTTAAGGGTGACATGTATATGTGTGAATTGCACGTTCTCAGCGATATGCCTTTTTTTTTCTATAGAAGAAAAATCATCAAAAGTATTTATTCGTTGTTATACAAGAGGGCGTAGGGTGTTTTTTTGATGGTGAAATGATGATGTCGGAGCGGGCATATATATACATGTATATACAAGCACACAAGTCGGGACCCAATAGACCATGTGCGTGCGGTGCGTGTGTCCTTGACCCGGACCAGGCTAAGCCAGCGTGTTGATGACAGACTGATAACTACCGAGGAAGATGAAGCCCCCGATAGAGATCCATGTGACGCGCGGCGCGATGCCGGCAAACAGGTGGCTGGGACCGTCCTTTGCGAGGATCTGTCGCAGGACGTGACCGACCGACACGCGTTCCCTGGAGAGCATGACCCTCGTCTTGAGCACGTCGAGCGGCGTGGTCAGGGCGGCGGCGACGGCGCCGGCCATGCTGCCGTACACGGCGCTCTCCAGGGCAGGAACATCAGCTGCGGCTGCGGCGGCGCGTCTCTGTCTCCCCCAGCCCTTGAGGGCCTCCCAGATGGGGAACTGGATCATGGTGAAGGGGACCTCGCGGAAGACGGTGATGGCCCAGCCCCTGTAGAGCTCCCTCCACATGGGCAGGAGGCCCGACTGGGCGCGCATGCTGAGGATGGCGCCGAGGGCGCCGGCGCTGGAGCCGCCGTGCAGGCCGGCCTGGGCGCGCTGCTTGACGACCTCGGTGGGGACGCGGACCGAGCAGGCGGCCACCTCGCCCGCGCTCCCGGCCATCATGTGCGTCGTCGCCGTGTCCTCCCTCCCGAACCTCGACTTCAGGATGGACTTGGTGCCCTCGTACGTGCAGAAGAAGAAGGCCGCCCCCGGCGCGGACCCGACCACGGCGGACCCGATGCCTCGGTATATGCCCTGGAAGCCGCCGCTGGCGAAGAAGCCCGCCGAGGACTGGAGCCGCGTCTTGAGCGTGTCGAGGGGGAAGAGGGACAGGTCGACCGTCGTGCCGGCTACGGCCCCCGCCATCAGGGCCGTCTGGAATGGAGGCGCGCTGCTCATCCTTCCTCTCAAGTTTCTTTTAGATCTTTTCCCCCGGGGGGTTTTTTATCGTCGGTACAGGATGAAGAAGCGACCTGGTGTGTCCTGATCGGTTCGGCGATCGGAGACGGAACGAATCGGGTCCGTTCAAGAATAAACGAGGGGCCAACAGAACGAAGAGACAGAGACAGAGACAGAGAGAGAGAGAGGCAGGCAGGCAGGCAGGCACCGAGAGAGAGAGAATGTTTCGGGGTGATGGTCGCGGGAAATTGAGAGGTACATGAGAGCTCTTTTATTTTTGCTCTCCGAGTATCGGCGTCGGGCGGCCGATCTTCTTATCGGATCTACCCTGCACTGGGTGCTGGTGTGCTTCCTGCTGGCGACAACACACGATGACCCCGTAGGCATTGCGAATACATTTTTCTCTGCCTATTGACTATGATTGATTCTTCCCTATGATTTCTTTCTGCTGATATATATATATATATATATCTCCAGAAGAATTCAACATGGCAACATCATTCCTCACCCCCAACTCTATACATCCTCCTTATTACTACTCTCAACAACCCTCTTGGTACGCTCCTGCAGCTTCGCCGGGTCCTCGGGTGGCGAGCGATCCGCCCTGAGTGCCTCCTCGCTATCCGATGCGAGCTCTCGCTTCCAGTGGGACTGTCCCTGTTTCCTCTTGGAGAGGGAGTCGGCCTTGTGTTTCTCATAGTCGGTGTTTTCGGCTTGTTTGAGAGTTAGCACATGCATGTGATGTACTATATAAGTGCCAACATGGCTAACAATATATCCAACAGGCCAACAGCACAGAGGACATCTAAAAAAAAAAAAAAAGGAATCAAAACAGAACACAAACTCACGGTCACTTGTCTCCTTGAGACCCACGACTCGAGTCGTACTCAACGGTCGACGGACGGCGACTGACTGACGGCCGACGATACCAAGACCGTTCCTGATGATTCGTGCGTTCATCATGTCGTGTATGGGAATGCGATGCGTTCTTCTCTGATGAGATAGATGGAAATGTTATGTTGAAAATATTTGTCCCAAAGAGAAAAGAGAAGGAAATAAGAGTGTTGATAAAAAGAACATTTCGAGGTGGAATCCTATGACTCAAATAGGAATCCCAATGGCTCAGATACCAGGCCATCTACCTCGAGCTACCCCGATCGAATGACGAACCACGAATGATTTCATCAACTGAATAGCTAACAGACGTCATCTAATTGGTCTTTCCTAGAACCTTGCCCTCACGCTCGGGGTAGAGGAAAGAAGTTCGAAACAGTAATGATGAGAAGGCCTGATTTACCGTATGGGGGACTGATTGATCAATCAACACAAGGGGCAAACAATTGAATGGGACCCAAGGTTTGCCGGTGCTCCCTTTCCTTTCCCTTCTCCGTTTCCCGTTTCCCTTTTCCCTTTTCCCCTCTTGCATGGTTGACGTCACGGTGCTGTCATACAGCTCTCTCCAGATGTCCCAGCCAGAACCAGTAGAGCTAATAAATCATCGAGGGAAGGTGGCTGGTTAGTAATAATGCGAACATCAGATGGAAGCACGTTACTAATACTGCTACCACGCCCTCTGACATCTAGTACCTATATTACTACTACCTGTCGTCGTACTAGTAAGTATAGGAACTAGATGTCATATACATCAAGACACGCAAGGTAACCATAGCATAGATATTGTGAAGAGATCCATTCAACAAAGAAAACATGGGGAAAGCCTAACCCCCCTTAAATCAACGTTCAACTCCAGTGTTTCCCAGAAGAACCCGTTTCCCAGCTCCGGACATGCGTCGCAAAACAAGACAGAGAATACGCCCGCTCTCATCTTCGCCGCCCCTCCACTCCCTCCCAAGACAAGAAAGAAAAGAAAAAAAAGGCCAGGTATTGTAACCGGCTTTCCCTTTGCCCCCAGCGATGACTATATACAATAGAGAAAGACAAATAAACACCGAGTAAAATACCAGAAAGAATTCCACAGCCCCGAGGGGATGCTTTACCCCTTTCCCAGAGAAAAAAAAAAGCAGAAGCACACCTCTATGTGTTCCTTTGTGTTTTTTTGCCTTGTTGATATTTTTCGTAAAATCCGTAATCGCAGAAAACAGCTGAGCGAGAGCAATTTCCGTCCTTTTTTTTTTTGTCCGGTATATGATGTGCCTCTGGTAATTGCACCGCTTGTATCCGTGTATAGAGAGAAAAATATCCGCATGCCTTGTTGCTCAAACCCCGAAAAGAGAGGCTAGTCTTCTCACCCATCTCCCAGACACCAAATGCAAATGTGTATCCTGAAATGCAAAAATAGTAATAGTCAAAGAAAAAATGGACCATTCGCGTAAAACGCCCAAATCGTGATCGAAACAACCTCTTTCCTCGCAAGGCGAAGAGTACTGACACTGGTACTAGGTATTATCGCAGAAAAAAAAAGGGATAAGAAAAACCGTAAGAATGCGAATGGTATCAAAATCCTCGTGTCGTGGGCGCCGGTAAAAAAAAATCCTCGGTAGAAATGGGAAAGAGAAAAATCTTTATCGTCGGTAAAAACAGGGGTATGTCGGTGAAGAGAATGTTTGTACAGAGTCGATAGACCAAGTTGTAGACAGGCCCAGGTCGACGACGTCAAGCCGCCAAGCACCTGTGGCCGGAGAGAAGGAATTTCGAAGAAAAGAGGTGTCGAGGAATTCCCAGCCCGCACCGCAGCGACAGAGGGTTTCGATGACCATGATAGCTTCTCACAGCACCATTATCAAGAGCATGCCCGCCAAGAAGGAACAGGATTGTCGTTATTTTTACAGTCAGGAGGCCAGCGCGTCAGCGAATGGTGTCCATCTTGGCGCCGGTACGGCTCCACAAGAATCAGTGGAGCTCGGTACCACACGCGCGACATGGCTCTACCATAGACGACCCATCGACTGCTGCATCTTGGCAGGAGATACTGACGAGGGAGGGCTCGACATGGAGATACCAGTCGTCGGGTTGACGATGGGAATGGCGTTGCGGCCACGGGTGGCAGCGGGCTGGTGGAGCTTGAGGCTGGCCTGCTGGGCCTGGTAGCTGGAGGGCGGGATGAAGGGAGGCGACGAGGTGTTGAGGGAGAAGGTGGGGGCGACCGACTGAGGCTGCTGGGTGGGCGAGGACTGGGGGGAGTTGCTGGCCAGCGAGGAGCGTTCCGAGGCGCTCGAGATGGAAACGATCTGTCCATGTGTGAGCGGAGGGGAAGAGGAGGTGGGTGTGGCAGGATAACTCACGTCCGTCTCGGTGAGCAGGCCAGGGCAGAACTCGAGGTCATCTTCGAGCTCGAAGGAGCGACCAGCCTCAAACTTGTTGCGGAAGGCGTGGAGGGAGGCCGAGTCGTTGAGCTCCTTCATGCTGCGGACTCCGCGGAACTGCCTCTGTGTGTTTTGGGTCATGGTAAGGCGAGGAGCCCTGCGGTTGCGACCGCCATGGTGGGTGTGGGGGGTGACGTGAGGGTTGTATCCGTAGTACGACGACATGTTTTCTCAGGTTCTCCGGACGTGGACTATTGTCATTTGCTTGTTGGAAAGTTGTAGTTTGTTCTTTTCTGGCAGAGGAAATGTTGTCAAGAAGCGGTTGCGAGAATACAGTCGTTTCTTTATTGATGGTCGAGCTTGGTCTGCCAGTCGGGAGATTTGAGGTTCCGGTGGCACGAAAGTTGATTTGTGTGTGGGCGGGGAAATTTGGTAATATTGTGTGCGAGATTAAAAAAAAAAGAAGAACCGGCTTGTCGATAGAAGCAAGATTGAAGACAGAATATCTCAATGATGAAGGTTAACGTTGAATATAGACGGGGTTCGGGAAGAAAAGAGTAGGAGAAAAAAAAGTAAAATAAGACAGGATTGTAGAAGGTGTAGTGTGTGGGTTGTGGGAGAGAGAAAAGCGTCGTGGGTTTCGAGATGCAGGTAGAATGTATGCGGTATGCGAGAGGAGTGTCGAGGGACAAGGCACATGCGAAGGTATACGGAGCAGTATTATGAAAAATAGATGCGAGAGAGAGAGAGAGAGGGAGTCGAGGGGGGGAAGCAAACAGGCAATGGTGGGAGACTAGTTTTGTTGGAGGGTGGAGTTACGGATCCACACTGTCTCGCTCCTTTGGACACAGGTGACCAATAACGATGGTCAAGATGAGTCTCCACTCACATTGCCACCCAGCTATGATTGGACTGACGTAGATTCTCTAAGCCGTAGGCGAGCTAGCGTACCCCACCACAACGCCATAGCGCAATTTTGGCAGGCATGTCCGGTGCTGTCTGGTGGCAGGCGAGACAGTCGGAGACAGTACGATTACTATAAGTCTACGGTGCGGGGCCCTGGGCTCCAGGGTGCAAATGCTCCGTAAGGCCGCCAGGCAGAGGGCAGTGACTCTACAGTGTACACGCTGTATTAATAATAGTGGGTGCTTAGGGGTATTATCGGGAACGTCGCATGACCGCCTTTCCTCTGTCTCGCTCCCTGACTTCCCAAGGGTTCTCCTTCCATCTTTTCGAGTGCTCATACTCAGACATGAGCATTGCAGACGCAAACGAAGAGGATTGGGGGAGTGAGTAGGATGTTTGCCTCTACCTGCACCGTACTGGTAGAACTGTGTCGTGCAACTCTACCACACCTTTCTGCAGTCGACTGGATCCGTCCAGCATAGATTGGCTTTCTGCATTGCCGTAAGCCTCTTCTCGTCTGGTGGCTGGGTGGTGGTGGTGTGGCCTGGGCTGTAGTTGGGTGAGGGATGGATGTATCTGGGAAACATCAGCACTGTATAAACTGGTGTGTTATACGCGTCGGATTACAGTATATATAGTCGAGGGATACGCATCATCCACCAACTCTCCGTATTAGGCGCCCAAAAAACCCTTAGCTTCGACCTAAGCACCGAGGGCAGCGAGTGAGAGGCTTCTTGCACGCAGCCGTGCATCGCCATCGCCCACGCCGAGGGGCTGTTCCCAGTGTTTTCTTCCCGTGAGTACATGGACGACGTACTCACTGGATGGCTGTACGAGTAGGGTACATGTAACGAGTCGGCCGTGAAGAGTACGTGGGCGTACGTACGCGTACAGTTGGTAAGTAGTGATGATACTCATAATACTCTGTATATGTACCCAGCTTGGTCGCCACGATGATGATACTCCGTACCGTATGACGCACAGCTCAGTAGATTTGGCCCCATTCCAGCTACTGCGGGGCCTCCTGGCACTGGGTACAAGGCCATCCTCCATACTCACCCGTTACCCGTACCCATCGAGAAAGTAAACATAGGCAGTGAGAGGGAGTATAGAGTACAGCTATGAGTAGGTACCGTAATACAGGGGCGGCCTCTGATCCTCGTACCTTGCCGCTCTGACCCTTGGGGCGTGTCACTTGATCCAAGTGCGAGTAACTCGTACGAGTAGACGCATACAACTGTGTAGCCAGCCACCCGCCACCCCCTCTCCTCCTCTTCTCACTACCTCTCCCGTCCTTCTCCCTCTGGAATGATACTCCATAGGATGCTGACCATTGTTACGCAGGTTCTGGAACGAATGCTGCGAGACAGAAGGGTAGCCTTGCCTGCTGTTTTTATTACCTTCGTGTTGCTGAGGTTTCCAAAGAAAACACTGAACATTGCAGTCAGCGATATTGCGAATAGCTGGCAGGCAAACCCAGTCGATGCACCGCTTGTACTCATACGCACAGGGTAAGATTATGTGTATATGTAAGAGTGTTATTGGAAATTTGAAGAATCATGGTCACAATATTGACGAGGATTAATGCCTCCTCGTACTCATCGAATCTAGACTTATTAATAGCATCAAAGGGAGAGAGCCTAGCTACGGAACGCATGAATAGCCTGTATCCGTACATATATATACATGCTCTAATAGTAGGTGGCTCAGAGGATGGGAGGGGGGACATCCATTAAAGGCAGCTCCTGGAGGGACTCTCCAGATAAAAGACAACAACTTGTCAGAGCCAGTACCCGCAGGGTTGCATCAGAAAAAGAAAGGGAGCGTTCGTTTCGCTCAAGCGGTGGAGGGTCGTCAGGCTGTTTGACTGGGCAGGGTCGGGGCCTTGGTCCAGGGGTTTTTCTCTGACGCTTTCGGAGATATTAATACCCCCCCCCCCTTCCCCTCCCTAGGAGCCTTCATCTGAGGCTTAACGTTGAAGGGGGACTCTGGTTCTTCAGTTCATCATACTCCATAATCCGTAATCCGTACAGATTACATGAGGCGGGGTTTCCTCTCCTCCTGTTCCACTCCACTCTCCCCCTTCCTTCCTACCCGTATATCTCAACATGTAATCATCGTCCCGCGACAGCTACGGAGAGTTAGCACTACAACGTACAGATCACTACATAAATAGTGTAGATGTTGGAACCTGCAATTGCCCCCATCACTGCTTCGCTTCCTGTAGCCTAATCCTGTGCCTCTCGCCGTCTTAAAATTTCTCGACTCTGGGAGTTTGAAGAAGCCGCCTCTCCCGACTCGACATCGTAGGGTAGGTAGTTGCCAGCACTCCAGTCTACATCATAGCTCCAGCTCCGCCGCCATGACTCGGGACTGATCTGTACCGAGGGTCATTACTGCATGGGTACTCTTTCTCTCGCCATATCATACTACGAGTAGTAGTGCAGTGTAGTCTGTACTAGACCAACTGCTAGGCTGTAGCACAGTCCGAAGATTGTCCATTTCCCCGTAATAATCCATAGCACCGAGTTGCATCCTACAAGCGCGCGATCCAACAAGGTCCCATCAGGTGACGCCCGATACCCGCCGGCTACCTCGTCACTCTTCTCCCCTCCTGTTCCTACGAGTGCGGAATACAGATAGCTAGGATCTGTTAGATCTAACTGGCCTAGGTTAGCTCTAGGCTTTCCCTCTCCTACTGGCATCCTACACTACTAGCTTATCAAGAGCAAATCAAGAGCAAACTGAAAAGAAGGGAGTGGGTGTACTCCCACTTTCTCTCAACGCCTCTCCCAACCCGCCCCTCCCTCCTCTTCCTTTCCGCGAGAGAGCGAGAGAGAGAGAGTGTGTGTGTGTGAGATGGGAGGGAGAGAGAGGAGAGAGGGAGAGACAAAGTTCCGAGACGTATGTCAGTGCCACGTCCAAACCCACACACCACATCCTCGTAGCTTGTGTTCTTGACCGCTTCTTTCGCCCTCTTCGCAAGGTATAGAAGTTTTGCACTGTTGGCCGGTCCAGTGTTACGTGTCTGCGTGATGCCACATAATGGGTGAAATGCCAGCCACGTGTATATGAATAATGCCCCCCTGCTCCCTCCTCACTTACATAGATTAATCGTCGCGACATCGCGGACGACGGTGGTGGTTAGATTCGTCCATGTATGTGATGCTTCCGGGTCAATCCGGCCACCCCCAGACTGAACTGTGCCGATCACGGGGCGGTGGCAGGGCAGGGTCGGCAGGGTCCGCAGAGTGTTATGACGTGTGTTTTCTGGTAAGTAATGGCAAGGAGTCAAGGACCAACTGCTACCATCACTTGACTAATACGAGTACGGAGTAGTACGTTTGGAGTATTATTGGGCGGACCGTCCCAGAGGAATTTCATAAGAATGCTGCTATACGAGTATTGACGGGGCTAACATCTACAATGCCACTCAGTGTCGTGACGTTGGGTTGTTCCCTCTCAACATCATATCGGCAGGGCGTAGACGCCGACTGACAGACAGACCAATCCATCTTCATCGTATTATCGCCTTACCAGCTCGTCTAATCATCGCCAAGTCGAGTCCCATGTGCCGCCCGTTCAAGAGTAAGACCACCATTACCGGGCGTCGCCCAGGTGGAAGCGTAGGCATACACGTTCTTGGCACATGTGAAAGGCAGCATAATTCTCATCACTGCCATCCATCCAGATTATCATTATATAGAGACCATGTTTACCGATTTATTATTTCCTTGATCATCATCATCTCAGAACCTCTACACTTACAAAACAAACACAAACACACACACACATACACATATATTGAACCCTCGACAAGCAGAATCACAGCAATATAATCAACATGGGCTGTATACAATCCAAACCACCAAGATACGCTCCAGCGGAGAAACCTGCCTACAGCCGTCCAGCTGCGGCCTCGACTGCTCACCCCCAACCGCCAGTGCACTATGTGGCTGTTAATCCCCCTTTGAACAACAAGTCGCGTCGTGGACGAGGAGGAGGCAGGGGAGGAGGCAGGGGAGGAGGCAGAGGAGGAGACAGAGGAGGATCGGGAAGCGAATTTAGTTCTGACGCGTTTGTCAGACTTGGAGGATACACGGCTGGAGGAGGGGGAAGTGGAGGAGATAGTGGTGGCGGTGGCGGCGGCGGCGGCAGCGGCAGCGGCTGTGGCGGCGATGGAGGAGGCGGAGGCGGAGGCGGAGGCGGAGGCGGAGGCGATGGCGGTGCCTGATCATGCGCGGCTATCTCATTCATATTGTATGCGTGCACCTCTTTGCTTGTCTACCCTTGACTATGCCATCATATTATGAGATTCAATGTCAAGGCTTGCGTTTACCAGATGAGGAGCATAACTTTCATGCCTTGGTCATTCTTTTATAATCGGAGGCTTTTGTATACAACGCGTATACGTTCGGAGAGAAACAATGCAGTCAGTCTATATCGTAACGACGTGGGGCCATCTTTTTTTCTCTTCTGCCACTCACGTCCCTCTGCTCGTCGAATACAAGTTGCCTTTCCAAGACCACGTATGAGTGCATCACTGTATACATTTTGTCCTCTCCTTCCTGGGCAGAATCGCCTCTCCCCGCTCTGAAAGGGTGGGATACAGCATTTCATGAGTAGACTGCGTGTGCATATATATATGTCGTCAAGTTATGGAAGGTCTGGACACAGGGCTCCATGAACGAGAAGCCTAGAGGAGACAGGGCGGCTTAAAACCACCTCGCTTTCGTGTTGGTACGAAAGTTCCTTTAAATGTTATCCCGAGGTTGACTCGCCGAGCTCCATAGCTGCCAATATGTTTAGACAAGGACCATATCTGCCCATCTTTCCGACCACTCATCTTTCCTCGTCTTATATGCATTAGGATCTATCATGGTCGGCTGTATGGATATAATGTGCAGGCGGAGAAGATCAAGGCATGGGGCAGAGGACGGTTGATGATTCAACGTCTTTTATCTACACTTTTCATTTTAGCCTGTATATTCTTCCCTCAGCTTCACATTTCACGTGCTATACATCTTTGCGATGCTGCTGCATAGCTTGTAATGTTAGATAATGCCTTTCACACAACACTCTCGCTTAACACAACTGATGACTTTCTGCACGCTGAGCAAACACCTTGGCATACATCTGCCTCCATAAGCAAACTCACTTCCACGCTCAAAAATGAGTCACAGAAAAGGAAAGGCGCAGAAAATATCAGAAGAGGAGTAAGTCATGGGTTTGAAAGCATCTCTACTAACAACGTTCCTGCATCGTCTTGTACTCGGGCCTGGCTGGGTGGACCCTTCCCTCATCGGAACCGGGGTGGCCTGGCTACTGGGGGGGGGCGCGCAGGGTGCTTCCTCGTGCACGGCATTGGTACGCCCTGCGTGGCGCTGGGCGACATGGCACGACGGTTTGTATCTCGCGGCTGTCGGATCATGCTATTTGGTGAGTCTTTTGACCTGGACCAGCCGCGTCCGGCGGCTTCCCAGCTCATGAAATGTCGATATGCCAGACCTCTTTGGAGGGGATACTCGGATGCCCCGCTCGACGTAGAGTAGGACGAAAGGCTGTATATATCACAGACCCTAATCATGCTTGCCTCGTCGTCCCTACGCTGGATCTGCTCTGATGCGTTCCACGTGGTGGGCTACTCGCTGGGTGGTGCCCTGGCTGCCGCCCTGGTAGTGTATTATCCGCACATGCTGAGGTCGGCGACGCTTGTCTGCCCCGGCGGACTGATCCGCGATGCGTACGTCGGTTTCGAGAGTCGCTTCTTGTATTCGACCCAGTCGGGCTGGCCTTGGCTGCACCAGCGACCTGTTCGGTCGAGATCGGAACCCAGTCGCGGGCCCAGCGCTGATGTGCTCGTTGTCTTCGATGAGGATAAGAACACGGAAGTAGTCGGCTTTGACCATGTGCCTCTGTCGGAGGAGCGAGACCGCCCTACCGTGGGCGATGTCACGAGTTGGCAGCCGCGGGGGAACGAAGGGCTCATCTACGCTTTACATAGTACAGTTGGGAACGAACTTGTTTACGCGCAGCATGAAACTCCGTGGGCGCGTCTCGGCGAGCGTCTAGGGGGCTGCTGAGAAGAACGGTGCCGAGATTCCGCCGGGTCTGCCTGGCGGCAAGGTTCGCATCGTCCTGGCAGACAAGGACCCCCTCATCGACAAGGAGGAGTGGATCGAGGATACGAGTGCTTGGCGAGGGAGGCGCTGATATACGTGTCCTGCCTGGGGGACATGAGATTCTCAAAGGAGGTCCTCGTTGCTGAAATAGCTATTCGAGTGTTGGAGTAGTGTGGAGAAATAGGCTTGTGAATGTTTGACAATAGACGGAGAGTCTTCTGGTTTTATCGATGAATGTTATAAAGACGATCAACAGGCCCTAGTGGATAGATGAAGAAAAAGGGAAGGATCAAAGTATGCAAGAATCATAGCCCCCGACTCCCCGGTGTGTATCAATATATGCGTCATGACGAAGAATGCTCATGCTTCGTAAAGGAAAAAAGAAAAGAAAAAAGCCAGAGCCATATGCAGACCCAAAAATATTACCTGGTCCTCCTTCCCTTGCTTACTTGTCTAGACCGCGTGCCTTGACAAATCTGTTGATCTGCTCCTTGGTCAATTTCTCATTGTACTGCTCATAGCACTCGTAAAATGATATGATTTCCTGCGTAGCGTCCACCATGGCGGCGATATCGACGCTGCTCTCGGCCAGCCATGCGGCAAAATGCTGCACCCGAGTGATTCTGGAATCCTCCGGTCTCCGTTTCAGTTCGAAGGGACCGCCCCCGGGCGTAGAAGGAGCATGGTGGTGGTGGTGCTGCTGTTGATGGTGCGGGTGCTGGATATGCTGACCTCCCGCGCGGGCCTGCGCCTGACTGAGGGCAGCTTGGGCAGCAGCGAGTCCGGCAGCGGGCGAATTGTTGCCTGCAAGACCGCCAAGGCCAGCCGAAGACGACGAATTGGGCCTCAGGACGAGAGAGAGGAGGATGGCGGCTAGGGCAATGGTGTGGGGTGCGCAGAAGAGAGGCAGGTCGGTCATGTACGAGTCGTTGATGACGGAGCGGGCCAGGGCGGCGTCCTCTTCGGTCATCATGGGGATCTCGATGCGCAGGGAGGCGACGACGCGGTAGGGCTGGTGGACGAGCAGCTGGGCGTTCATCTCGCTGATGAGGTAGAACTCGCACTCGCCGATGCGCGACGTGTCGAGGCTGATGAAGTCGGACCACAGAGTGCGCGCCTCGGTGACGATGAGCCGGATGTGCTGGGGCGCCTCCTCCATCTTGCATGCCAGGTATACGGCCGTCGTGATGACTAGGTACGGGTTCGTTCGGCGGATCTCGACGCGCGAGTAGAAACGCTTCAGGTAGACTTGGGCCGTGGCCATGCACTGTTGACGGATCTGGATCCTCTTGCTAAGCCGGATCATTTCTGGAGGCCCACGCAATGTCAGCTGAGTGATTGGGGGGAGAAGGGCGACAGAGAGGAGGAATGGGAGTCGAGAGGAAAAGATAGAACGCACGCTGGTTAAAGTATATGGCTAGATGCCTAGTCTGAGGCAGAGGAAACATGCGCACGAGGTCGGAATTCTCATCTTCGAGCTTCTGTCGCATCGACGCCAGCTGGTCCTTGGAAAAGAGCCAGTGGCGCCTCTGTGTCGAGTCCCAGTAGCTGGCTGACATTGATGATGACTTGTGAGGCCGTCACCGTCCTGGGAGCGGCGTAGAGGCGCTGAGCGCGTACGAGTGGAGGAGAACCTCAGAGCATGGATCCCAGAGGTATTGTCCGTGATTCAAGAGATGAAAGAGGATCGTCGTCGGCGTTTGATAGGTCAGGCACCCTTGAGCCTTTGGGGGCGTACGATGATTGAATCTTGATTGGAAGATGGCTAATGGTGATCAAAACGCCTTGTTGCGGGGGGCCGCTTCAAGGCGGCTTATCTCTTATCGCAGGCCATCGGATGTGCACTAAAGGAGGTCTGAGCAGTCCAAAGGTGGCTGACCAGTGACAATGACGGCATTACCTTGTAGTGGGTCTCTTCCCATCGAACGGACCCCCCCCCCCCCTCCAAGCCTCAAGGTTCAGAGGCAGGACTGCCCCTAAGACTTGAGGTCCACTAGTTGCCCCTACGCCGCTGTGCAGGAGCCTAGGTTTGCAGTGCAGGAGCTGGAGCCCTCTACTGGCCTAGTGATACCACCCGCTGGCCTAGTAGTACTGGCCCAGTAGAGCCGCCCGGAGCCGGTGAAGCGAAAAGGGCTGCCTCCCGAGGCTTTACCTTTCGGTTCCCACCTGAAAAGGGTTGGAGCTGTGGCAGCATCATTCCCCTCCCTCCCCCCTTTGGGCATTCGTGATCCTTCTTTTCCTCTTCCCTCTTCACTATCGCTCCTTCTCCTACCGTATTTTCTATTTCCAGAGTCGGTAGGACGCGCCAATTCCTCTATCGACGGTCCTTCCGCGATACCCGATCGGTCCGCTACCCCCAACCACGCGACCTGACACTATCCATCATCGTCACCAACATCGTCATCTGTCTCCAACGTATCATGTCATCCCCGTAACGACGGCCCTTTTACCTGCTCACACGACAAAGCTCGCTATCGTCGACAGGGGGAGAAAACCAAATAGACCAACCGACGGCCCCGTTCTTCGTCGAGACATGCCGCTGCTATGAGCCATTCCAAGGTGCTCGCCAAGGCGGCGCATAGCCTCGAAGAGTCGCAGAATCAGCGCGACGCGCGGGTAGAACAGCTCTGGAGAGAGCTCGAACCAAACGCCGCTGGCGAACTCGACTTCAGAGGACTGAAAAAGGGGTTTCGCAAGATTGATCATCGTACGGGCGCCTGATTTTCTCTTTACCCTCGATCTCTGTCTGGTGCTGATGCCCATTTTAGCGATGAAAAATGCCGACAACATGTTGAAGAAGATCCTCGACGAGGTGGACACAAATAACGACGGAAAGATTCAATATGAAGGTGCGGCGCAAACGGCGTTTGGATGCTGATTATCGCAAATATTCTAACTCTACGATTGTTCAGAGTTCCGAGCCTTTGTCCAGAGAGCTGATGACCAGCTATTCACACTCTTCACCCACATTGACAAGGACGGCAATGGGAGACTCAACCAGCAATCGCTGCAGGCTGCTTTCCGCACTGCCGGCCTGACCGTCTCTAATAAAAGACTGGACGACTTCTTCAACGACATGGACCATAACAACGACGGCTACGTCACATTCAATGAGTGGAGGTGAGTTCAGTGTTGTTGTTTACCACAGTCGGCCTTCGTCATATGGCTTGTGTCTACATCGTGTGGCATTCTCGTCAGCAGAACAGACTTCTTCCGCAAAGCCGATCATCTCAAGAGACTGTCTACTTCAACAAGACGGACACGTGAAACAATAGCTGATAACGGCGATCCCAACCACAGAGACTTCCTCCTCTTCATGCCCGCTCGCGAACACGACTCGCATCTGAAAGCAGTACTATCCTTCTATCTATCGGTCGTCAATGTCACGGCCGAAGGGGATTCATTCGTCAGCGACGATACTCTGGAAGGCTTAGGTACGACAGGCTCCTCTGAATCTCTCTTCCAGTCTCTCTTCGGCTCTCTTGTCAGAGTCGCCTTCCCTTTCGGGCTCCGGACGACACCAGAGTCATCGGGAACATCACCATCAGTGGCCTCGTCCACGAAGACAACAACAACATCAGATAGAACTGGTCTGGGGGCGGCAGAAGTCTCCACCTCCACCTCAACGTCCCGCAAGATGGCCCCCCCGTCTTCTCTGGGGTCGGCAGCACCGCCGGTAGCGGTCGCCGGCGCCGGGGCGGCCTCGTCGCGGCAGTACCAGGGCCAGAAGGCAGTGGCGGCGGTGGCACAAGACGCCGGCGACAGCACCAGCACCAGCACACACCAAGAAATCTCCTCTGAAACGCAGCAGGGGGCTAAGAAGAAGTACTCACTGACCGACTTTGCCCCCGATCCAGGTTACTTCCTAGCAGGTGCCATCGCCGGCGGTGTCTCGCGGACGGCCACTGCCCCCCTCGACCGACTAAAGGTCTACCTACTCGTCAACACAAGCGAACCAAAAAACGCAACGGCCACCGCCGAATCGCTGAAGAAGGGACGTTTCACTTCAGCCACAAAGAGTGCCACAAAGCCCATCGGGACTGCTGTTCGCGAAATCTACAGGTCCGGTGGTATCCCTGGTTTCTTTGCCGGCAACGGTCTCAATGTCATCAAGATCATGCCCGAGACCGCCATAAAATTTGGCTCGTATGAGGCGGCCAAGCGAGCTTGCGCCAATTTCGAGGGTCACGGCGATCCGAGTAAGATTAGCTCCTATTCGAAATTCACAGCCGGTGGACTTGCTGGCATGGTAGCACAGTGAGCTCTCCAACAACCCCCCCTCTCCCCTTATATGCTGCGATAGGGCGGGACTAACATGGCTGCTTAGATTCTGCGTATACCCAGTCGACACACTCAAATTCCGCCTGCAATGCGAGACAGTTCAGGGCGGCCTCAAGGGCAGCGCACTGGTGCGCCAGACGGCCATCAAGATGTACAGCGATGGCGGGCTGCGTGCATGCTACCGCGGCGTGACCATGGGCTTGGTGGGCATGTTCCCCTACAGCGCCATCGACATGGGCATGTTTGAGCTTCTCAAGAAGACGTACCGAAGATGGTACGCGACCTATGCCGGCGTGCACGAGGACGACGCCAACCCTGGCAACCTGGTGACGGGGGCGATCGGCGCCACCTCTGGCGCGATCGGCGCGTCGGTGGTGTACCCGCTCAACGTGGTCCGGACCAGGCTACAGACCCAGGGTACGGCCATGCACTCGGCCACATACACGGGCGTATGGGATGTGACACAAAAGACGATACAGCGCGAGGGTTACCGCGGCTTCTACAAGGGTCTCACGCCAAATCTGCTCAAGGTGGCACCCGCCTTGAGTATAACCTGGGTCGTGTACGAGAATTCGAAGACGATGCTTGGATTGTCATAGCATCACACGCATCGCATCACACACATACGCACATCATCTCTCACATACACACACATACACACACACATACACACACACACACACACTCTCTCTCTCTCTCTCAATTTCTTTTACACAAATAAACATACATGTAGTTGGATGGGCAAAGCGGACAAGGGATCCGAAGGGACGGAGTGGATTGAGCGAATGGGAATGGGAAACAGGATAGAAAACAAAAAAAATCTGGTGTTATATCTCTTTTTTCTTCCAGCCCGGCCTATTTGTATAGTCGTCTTCTCTTCTTTTGTTATTCTTTTGTAGGGCATATTTAAAGCGTTGATCAGAGTTTCCCCAGCAGTCATGTTGACTGCGTGTCTGGCATGGAGATGATGTTGCACTGCCACGGGGAGTAAATAGTACTGATGAAAGATTTATATAATGAGGTTCATATCCACGGGAAGGCACAGAACGGGAGAAAGGAACGAAGGACTGAAGGGCACAAGACCTCATTCAAACACTCGACCCTCGAGGTGAACTCTCTCCTGTCTTTCAATCGTCTGTCTTCGAGCCCAGCTCTGAGATGAGCAGATATCGCTCCCTCCCATACCCTTGCCACACCCTCCGCTACGTAGTATAGCACAACAAGCTGCGTATACAGCCAGAAACGTTCAATCCTGCTCGGACGAGGAACAAGAGCGGAAAAAGGCCACTGCGTTTTTTATCTTAATTTTAATGGAGACAACAACAGAGGAGACAGCAACAGAGATACCGTTGAGTACCTTGAGCCGTCTTACGAGTCCGCCAACGGGGAACTGGACCTCCGATATTCCTCCTGGTGGAGAGGTAGCCTGGAAGAAAAGTCCGTCTCGTGCATCTCGCAGCTCAGAGGGCAGCGGGGGCATGCTCAACAGAGTTTGACGGATCGTCTCTCTGTCGTGCGGTGACCGGGCGCAGGGGTGGTGGAGTCTGGAGAATTTTGTGTATCGATGTGAATACTGTGTCGGGGGGCCAATGCACCCTTTCGTGGGTGAAGAACGAGCGTGCCCTCTTGCGGCTTGATACTCTACTGATCTCTCACGACGACTGCATGTTGTATGCGCTGCTTGGAGTTCGGGCCGTACGGAAGCGGTGGCAACCCGTAACAGCTGCACATTGGTCTCATCTCGTAGACAGCTACTACTCATCACGTATCACAATAATGAGGAGACAGCTGAGCTCCCAGATGGGCCATTGACTAGGAAGAAGATGAATGAATTCGTAAACATCATGACGTAGCATAGATGACACAGGTGACGCCTTTTGAAAAAAAATAAAAAATAAAAAACAACCGTTCCTACAATGGGTATATCGACAAATGAGAGAACGAACAGACCAGGTAGAAGGGAAGAGAGACAGAAGAAGAAAGAAGAGAAGGAGAGAAATGCAACACAAGACGGAGGGAAAGGGAGAATGTGATGGACCCTAGGTCCATGGCAGATCTCGGTTGGATATACTGGTGCAGGTAAGATACGCAACCGAGTCAGCGGCGCGACTGGAGCCGGCGAGATCGAGCTCCAGGCCGCTGCCCATGAGGGGTCTGACGAGGTCCCTGGCCATGGCCTTTAGCTCGTGGATGCGCCCCTCGAAGCGACGCAGGTTGTCACGGCTGTACAGATGGGGGGTGAGCTTGAGGAAGCGCTTGCAGTCGTCGTGGTCGAGGTACGAGGCCGCGTTCTCGGACCCGAGGGTGCGATAGGCGCGTCCGACGGCGGACAGGGGCGGGACGACGGGGGGAGGGGCAGCCGGCTGACGGGACCTGGTGGCCGGGTCCGGGCGGGAAGAGGACGTCGGTGGCGGCTGGGGGGAGGTGTTGTCTGCTATCCACTGGCGGAAGAGGCTGACGGCCAGCCAGTCGAGGTAGGAGGTGGACGGGTGGACGGGGTCGCCGCGGGGGGTGGTGAGGTTGAGGCGGAAGAGGCGGCCCTCGACGCGGCTTACGGCCTCCTCGAGCTCGTCGACCTTGTCCTCGATCATGTCGAGGACGGAGTCGGGCAGGGCGGCCCTGAGACTGCGCTCGCCCGAGGGCCACTGGCCGACGACGTGGATCAGAGCCTCCTGGAAGATGACCTTGCTGTGGGCGAGGTAGCCGAGGCGCAGGTACGAGACGGGGTACTTGGCGATCTGCTTCCACAGGCGCGACTGGAACTGCAGGAGGTGGTGGTCGACGCGGGGACCGACGACGGCGAGGGAGTCGTACTGGTCCGCCAGGCTGAGGAGGCTCTTGCACTGGACGTAGGCGTCAGCGACGTTGACGCCATCCAGGAGGGGCGAGTAGTTGTACATTGTGCGGAAGAGGTTGTCGTAGTCGCGGAGGAGGTCCCTCTCGGCGCGGGACAGGCGGGGCTGCTCCTGCTCCTGCTGCTGCTGCTGTGAAAGGGTATGATGGTGGTGGTGGTGGTGGTGACGACGAGACGACGAGCCGAGGCCTAGGTTGCTCACGGACCGGGAAAAGTCACTGCCGCCGGATACGGAGCGTGACGACGCGTGGCCCGGTTTGGCGTGACGGCTGCGCGACTCGCCGGGCCCGAAGAGCGATGATGTGGTTGTCATGGGGGGCGGTGGTGGTGGTGCACGTCCATTGGTGCTGCCGCTATCCTTCTGCACGAGCATGGGTATGTCGTCTTCGTCGTCGCCCATGTCGAGCTCGTACCTCCACATCTTGTTCCTCCCCGGATACGACCAGATATCGGCAGCATGGCCACCACCACCGCCGCCGACATCGCCATCTAGGGCCGACGCTGACGGGGTGGGGATGCCATCCTCTCCGATCTTGGTGAGCTCGTTCCCGCTGGGCAGGGTGGCGCGGACGGGCCGCGCCTTGGACCACGGCTCCGAGGTGCTCGCCTCGAAGAAGCCGCTGCAGCGGGCCAGGGTGTCGCGGTGCAGCAGGTAGCGCTTCTCGACGGGCCCGGCGCGGATGACGATCTCGACGTCGCCAGACTGCGAGAAGACGGGGAAGTCATTGTCAGGGATGTAGGAGGCTCTTCCCCCTCCGCCCGTGTGGGAGCGGTTATACCGCTTTGCGCGCGAGAGGGAGGAAGAGTGTGGTGCCGCCACCACCGTCGACGCCGCCGTGGGACGGGAACTGCTACTGCCGCCTATGACGGACGAGGCGCCTCGGCGGGAGAGGGATGAACTCGTCGTGTCGGGTTGGGATACCATGTCACCAGAGGATGATGAGGAGGGGTGACAGCGGAATCTGCGCCCGCCGTCGTTCCCTTTCTCTTGTTCTTTGCTTTACCTGTCCTCAGCCGTCTTGCGCGCGCGCGAGAGTCTCTTCTTCTTTTCTTGTAGCGTCGTGAGGGGCCGGGGTTGTCGTGCAGATAGGGAAGTGAGATCAGGCAAGTACTAGCAAGAACAGATGCACAGATGAATGGAGAAGACGCATCGTCCGGCGTGTGCGGGAAAGTTGAGAGAGAAAGAGAGAGTATAGTATTTTCTCAGGGTTGGAAAGGAAAAAAAAAAAAGAGGAAGTGAAAATGATCAAGTGAGCAAGCAAGGGAAGTCGGAGGAGGGGAGCGAAGATCGGTACTATGTGGGCTCTTCACTCATGACGGGGTTACGTTACCGGGGGGGGGGGGGGGGGTGCGGTGGTTTGGTTTGGTTTGGGTGAGGGCTACGTCGAGAAATAGTAACCAGCTGATGCTGCTTTGGCTGGATTTCAAGTCGCTTGCTAATTTCTGTACATGTGTGTGTGTCCACACTGATTTCCCCCATCATCAGCTGCCAACAACGAGTGGCAAAGACTTCATCCCCCCCAACCTCATCCAGGTTCCTGTAGCAAGACCGAGAGCGGAAGGACCTATTATGTTTATGGACCCCCCCTCTCTCCCTTGCTAAGGCGGACCCTCCCCCCCCCCCCCCCCCCCCCTTTCT